AGAGAAAATAAAGAGAAATAAAGAACAATAAATACCATATGGTGAACACGTGTAATGGCAGGTCAATAATTTAAAAAGGCATGGGTTAAAGATGAATATAATTTTCGTATAATACGGCAATCATGGAATTAGAAAAAGAGATATACTGGCAGTGACCAGCAGACAAAGTAGAGGGTGGTGCAAGGCAACAGTACTTTTTAACTTTTTGAAAAGCCTCTTGGACTGGCACTGCAGCGGAGGCATGCAATTCCCAAGTGGGTTTCTTAAGGTGGAAGTTCTATTCAACTCCAATTCTTCACTCCCATTTGATTGGGACAGCCACTTAGACATTACATATTCCTCTCTTTCGTTTCATTTATAGAATAGAAAAAATGATTTTTTTTATCTTATTTATAAATAACTTATTAAATTTTTATCATAAATTTTTATTTACCTTTCCTTAAATGTTAAAAAAAAATGTTTTAAAGTATATATATTTAATAAGATAAAATTAAAAAATTATTAAATTTTTAAATATAGTTGACGAGTTTTAAGTTTTTCCTTGATTTCGATGGAACATGTAAAAAGTGATTTATAAATAGAATCAGGAAAATATATGCATATATATATACACATACACGTATAATGGTAATTAGGTTAGAAATAGCATATTAATACTCTCTTTATTGTTATTTATAAATTATTTTCATTATTTTTATAGGAACCAAGAAAAACTTCAAATATCATAACTTTGTCTAGAAATTTAACGAATTTTTAATTTTACCACTATCAAATATACATATTTTGAAAATAAAATATTATAGTACTTAATAGGCTCCCTAACATTTAATAGGGGTAAAAGGATGAAAATAATAAAACAATGATTATTGAGGAGTTATATAAATAGGACTAAAATAAATATTATCTTTATCATATAAATAGGATCAAATGAACAATAATTAGGCCCTCGATAATTTTTTAAGAATTAAATTATAAATTTTAATTCAAATATTTGCGTATTTAGGAATTTTAATTACGAAGAAGATATTTAAATTTTTAATTTTTAATTGAAATTTTTGTTTGCAGTTGCCTAAATCGATATTCATAACTAATTGTTCAAAAAATCTTATAAGAGACCTAACTGGTATTTTAATCTCTTGAGAGTCTAATAATGTCACCCCCCCCCCCCCCCAAAGTTTTTTGTTGGTGACATGTTAGATGGACGTGCTTCTGGTGCGCATCTTCATGTAGCTCTCTCTCTCTGTTTTTTTTTAATATAAAATTTATCCAAAAAAGGAGATGTACTAATTAATGTATGAGATGTAACAAGATGTGTTTGATGTGTCAACAAACACATACAAATAGATGCATGAATTGAAGATGTGCACATAAAAGGAACGAAGGATACGGGTATGATTAAAAGAATGGGGCTTGGCAAGAGAGGGGGGGATTAAGAATCGGACATTAACCATTTGTTTAAAGATTTAGATTTTCTTAATGTTGGCCAGTTTATTTATAAGTGGAGATTAATTAATAAACTTAACTTTAAAAAATGAAATTTTTATTCAAATTAAAAAGAAAATAAGCGAAGGGTGGGTATGTAAAAGCTCTTAATCATTTAAATTAAATTAATTGTTACCAATAACAATCACAGAACCCAGATTGGAGATAGCAATGCTCGACGTGTAAGAACTTTTTTCATGGATGCATATGTTATTACTTCCATTTTTTTTTGGATAAAGAAAAGATTAGGAGATAACATTTCCACGACCTTACAAATTAAATTCTTATTAGCTGAATCAATATTTGTTAATTGTTACTACCAATGTTATTGTAAACCAAAGAGTAGGGGCTTGAAACAAGTGATAGAAAAACTCCTCACCGACAAAGGAAAAAGAAAAAAGGGAAAGCGAGAGGGAGAAAAGCAACTCAACTGATAAAAATGGTTATTAGATGAAAAGAAATTAAAACCGGCATTGCTTAGCAGCTAAGTTGCAGCCATGAACTTCCTTATATTCATATGCCCCCTTGGGTAATTTGCTTATGTATTCAGCCAATTAATTTATGTCACGTTTTCTTATTAAAATAAAATGAAATAAAATGAATTAAAAAAATACAGATAAAAAGAAGATGATAAAAGGAGATAGGTGAATAGGTTCACAAGAGGAAGGGATAATTTAGGTCATGTGATTGAGAATAATAATTCATAAAATTTTTAGAGCATGTGATGATTTTTACATGTGTAATATATATTAAGGAGTTTTATATTATGCTTATCATGGGAAGAAAGGTGATTTAATTTATTTTTTTTTATTTTTTTAATCCATGTCATTTCATAATTCTATTCTGGTAAGTAAATGTGTAGATATTATGGTTTCTTTTTAACTTGTTGCTTTGATGTCAAACTGGGTAGACCATAGATTAAGAGGCTCAAAAGGAAGTTCACCAAACCATGACCATCTCATCCTTTTCCCTTGTTCACGACACGAATAATAATAAGCTACGATGACTTTATCAAAGAGTAAAGATACTAATTATTTTAGAAAGCTTTAGAATTGCACGCAATTATCTCTCCACTTTAAAGGAAGTGTCCTGCAAAGGAAAAGGAGGCATGTGAACAAGCATTGCCTGTAAGGCTATAGTTTCATATCATAAGTATCCGATCCCATTAATCTTTAATAAGACGAGAGTCTGAAATTGGAAAAGGCATCAAAGTCTTTTTTTTTTTTTGTTCAATTCTTCTATATTTGTGTGTGTGTGTGTGTGTGTGTGTAAAAGCCTACAAATACAGTTAAAAAGGAAATCAAATTCCTAGCATCAACATTTGAAATACCAAATTTACAACAATTCACACTACACATGGATATAACAAATAGCTTGACTTAATTACATCAAATACAGAATGCATATGAAAAAAATAATCAAGACCAGATAGATTTAAAGAAAATTAGAAGTGTGATTTTTCCCAGCCTATATCTAAATAAAGGATGTAAGAATAACGGTAGGATGAATTCTACTTTTGCACAGAGAGAGAGAGAGAGAGAGAGAGAGAGAGATTACCCAATGAACTGAATGATATGATATAACTTTTTGTGGAAAGATTGAACATACGGAAGCGCGCAAATGGGCAAGTGGCTGTTGAACTATTAAAAGTGGGTTTCTTAAGGGTGAAGTTCTTCTGGCTAAAGGAAATGGGGCGATCCCACAGAAAGTTGAGAATATTCTGCACAAGTGCACATGCTAACCTGAAAAAAAAAATGAAAATAAGTAAGGATGTAAATTTATGTTTATTTTAATTTTTCTCAAAACTAACTCTCTTGTGCAAAATATTGCGAGGAATAAATTGATAAACATACTTAATCCGAGAATTTTGTTTAACGATGGTTAAAAAAATCATTGATTAAAAAAAAAATCCGGTGAGTGTGCTTTCTCCCTTTTCTCAAAGAAAAATTTTAATTTCTTTTACCTATTTTTCACAATAAAAATGTTTTCAGTATCACTCAGAAACAATTTATACTCTTAATAAAAATTTCTGGATAATTTATTTTTTAAATAATTTTAGCTTTAAAAATAAACTACTTCCCTCGAAGGCTACAGAACAATATAATAAAGGAAAAATCGCAACCAAAGACCTCTAGACAAACTTATTCACATGTAACAACCAATCAATTCTAATTTAGCTTTGCATCAGTCCTTGAGGTTGTAAGTGGAGTTAATTTTAATGATGAAAATCCATATGTTCCCCTGATGTTTAAAATAAAATAAAAACGAGCTCTGCTCCTCTATCCTCTTTCGATACACATTCAGTCTCCACCCTTGACACCCACACTCATCATCTCCAACCGCGCCCTGCTCTTCATTTCTTCAATCCAATGCTTGTCTTTCTATCACTGCACCAAAGAACATGGGAGACCTTTTATCTTCGTCATCGTCCTCAACAACAATAGACCCAGCGGACCTTCATTTTCTAGTTTTTTTTTTTTTTTTGCCCCTCTTTTCTTGTCCCGTCTTTCAGATTTCGTTTCCAATATCTCCCTCATGATTTCTCTAGAATGTTGAGCTTTCTATTGGCCTTAAGTTCTATTGAAAGTTGAAACTTTACTGTTGCAGATTGAAAGTGGATGACTCCCTCTAGATTTCTTCATTCATGTTGAAAAAAAACTTGAAACTTTACTGTTGAAAGTTGGAACTTTCAAATGAGAATTTGAGATGGTTAATCTTTTTTTTTTTTTAGGGTGTTGCTGTGTAATTGATTTTCCCTATGATAAACAAGATAGAAGTGCATCAACCGCGGAAAAGGAAAGATAGAAATACACTACAATCACAAGATCCCCCACCCCCCCCCCCCACCCCCCAAAATATAAATAACAGGAAGAAATGTTTATATGTCCGCCTTCATAGGATATCTTCCAAACAACATTTTGTAATAATTTCGAGAAATAAAAATTCAAAGGAGCCACTGACTAATGAACAAACATTCAAACCATATATATGACTACAATCTCAGAAACAAACAAACAAATAAATAAAAGGACTTCAGTCTAACAAATATCACACACCAATTTAAAATTTTGAATAAAATTAAAGTGAACCCCATACACTTGTACCAAACCTAAGATGAGCCATGCATTTATTGCTTGTAAATAATGTAACTTCCTACAACTTTTATATTGAGATATGTATGTATGTATGTATTGATATATTGATGATGATATTTTATTGACTAAGCGACTACAAGTCTTAATGCAAGTTATGCAACACACTAAAAATGAATGCACAAATCTCCGTTGCTATTTCACTCGATCCAGGCAAATCCCTCCTTAGGCGGATCATATAAAAGCAATGCAGGCAACACTCAGCGAGCGTAAGTTCAAGGTACTCAAAGGAGATCAGATTGAACAGGCCCAGGTATAAGTATAATGCAGGACCCGATCATGGCCGAATCAAGAAACAATGCAAAGTAAATATATATGTTGCTTCAAAATATGTATGTATGTATATATATATATATATCGTGGCAACTAGAGGAACGAAGTGAGGGCTCGTGCCATAATTTTTGCAGACCGAACATAGAGACTATCTGCGACCTTCCCCATTTTAGAAATCGTTTCTAAAGTTGTAGGATAGATTGCATCAGTCTTAGGATCATCAAACATGATAAGGCATCCAGCACCTTGATCCAATGTCCCAGCAAATTTCTTGCCCAAATCATCTGAGGCAACTTTTGCTCCACATGATCGATCAATAGGAAGTTCGATAAGTTCAGCTGTATGTGCAATCTCAACCCTTGAGAATGGCTTAACCTGCAAAGATTCTGCTCCAGAAGGGTATCATACAGGGACGAGAGGTGCCAGTGAACAATGGGATCTTCCTCCAATTGTGCCTTGAAACCCCTCAAAGCAACCTCAAATAACTTCAGGGATCGCTTGGACTGAGCATCTGCAACCGCTTTCATGGCATCCAGGTCAGGCCCAACATATTGAAGGCCCGCTTTGGACGAAATAATCCCAGCAATATCATCTGCTTGGCTCACCATGATCTTGCACAACAACATGTATTTTAGACTAAAAGTAGCCTTGGGGTCTTCAAGAGCATTGAAAGGTTCAAAAGCTTCGAAGAAATAACTAGATGCAGTTTTATTGTCCTTCGCCTCTGCATGAAGAATCCCGCTCTACAGATCTCCTGCACCTTGTTGAGCTGGGGGCACGTAAATGGCATTTGCAGCTGTTCTTGCAGCCGTGAGGGCAGCCGCATCTTTTACCTTTAGGAAGATTTCGCAATGAGATGTGTAGCTTGCTTTCCAGCATGTCAATGTCTCCAAGTAGAAGCTTGTCATCTAACCTTCTAACCTCTTTGACTAAACCAGTAAGGAGAGTCAGAGCTTCAGCATACTCACTTATTTTCCATGAGAAGTGCTGCAAGCCAGCTTGCCTCAACTCGCTGCCTCAGAAAAGTACGCTTTTCAGCACGAGTCCATTGCACCATTTCTTTGCAGAGTGCAATTTGTAAATAAGATGTTCCTGGTATTTTAGCATCAGAGTCAATTATTCCCCTTGCAATCTTGGCAGTTTTTGCCTTAGGAATCAAGGAAAAAAAGGGCCTCAACTGAATGAGAAGGCTATGTAAATCCTCTGCCCTATTCTCTTGCTTGAGAAGGTCAGAGAGGTTTGTGATGGCCTGCTCTTTTATGCTCAGAGCCTCTGGAGAAGAAGACTGTCAAGTATACGATAAAGAATGAAGACAGCATCAGATGGGTCTTTGGCCTCCAATGCTTGAGCAATTGACCCAGTTGTTGCGGGAAGATACGATAAGACATGGCTGCTGCCTGCTGCCTGGACAAACTCCTTCAAGAAACCAATTTTTACTAATGACGAGCTCAAGAGCAACGATCTATAAAAACTCATGCGTAAAAATTATTGTTTAGCAGAAAATTATTATCCCACTGATTCACCTTTACTGATTTTAATAAGAAAAAATATAACTTTAATCCTTACATTTTGTTCGAATTTTGTTATCGATTCTTGTATTTTTTTTTTGTTTTAAGTCTTTCCATAAATGATAGTTATAGAGACCTAGAATATCAGAAAATAAAAATATATGAACTTAAAATACTGAAAAAATATAGAGACCCATAGTAAATTTAAGTAAAATGCAGGAACTCAAAAGTATATTTTTTTATTAATTCTTTTTTATCTTTCAAAATGTTTGACGTCTTTTTCTCTTGAAATGATGATTATAAAGCATTTGCAAAAATATAAGAAATTCATAAAATTTAATTTATTACATTATGCTTTTAGTTATCACACTATCACTCCTCACAAAAATTTGTAATCAAAATTATATTCTCAATAATATTGTCTTTTTATGTTTGTTCTGGGTATCTTACTGTGATTATTCATTAAAGATATTTTTTAAAATAATTCAATAAACACACATTAAAAAATTAAAATGCTTTGTATTTTTAGACATTTAATTTTAAAAAATGTCTTATACTTTTTAATAAGGAAACACAATCTTTTAAATAGTTTTAGACTTTTTATATAAATATATGATTTTAGAGAGTTTCAATTAAGGATTAGGAAAAATAAATATTTAACAGTAGGTCCCATAAAAATCTAAAAATTAGTTGCAAGATTTTTGGATTGAATTGAAATAAAATAAGTGGATGAAAAGATCAAAGGAAAATGATAGAAAAATTTATTTAAATTATATAAATGATAGATTGATTTCAAAAAATGGTATAATTTTTCTGAAGTCTCAAGAGATGTTTCTGTCATTAGGATAATAAATGAAACTTTTGCCTTTTATTCAAATTAAAAAAATTTACAACTTTTATTTCTAAATTCGTAATAATTTAATAACTCTTCACAAGTCTTGATCTGCAGGTCTTGATATACATTAAATGTTGAAAATTCATAATTTTTATTCACAATTTTGTTCATATATTAGTAACTTTTGTTTTTAAATTCACGATAATTTAATAGTTATTTATAAGTCCTAATCTATAGATCCTGATATGCACCAAGTATTAAAAATTCACAACTTTTTATTCATAACTTTTGTTCATATGTTAATAACTTTTATTTTAAATTCACAATAATTTAATAGTTATTTATAAGTCCTAATCTACAGGTCCTAATAAGCATCAACCGTTGAAAATTCATAACTTTCCATTCATAATTTTTATTCATATATCAATAAATTTTGTTTCTAAATTTACGATAATTTAAGAGCTATTCATAAGTCTTGATGTGCATCAAGTGTTAAAAATTTGTAACTTTTCATTCACAACTTTGATTCTTATATTAATAACTTTTATTTTTAAATTCTTAATAATTTAATAGTCATTCGCAACTCTACATCTGCAGGTTCTGATATGTATCAGATGTTAAAAATTCACAACTTTTATTCCTATATTAAAAAGTTTTGTTTTCAAATTCACAATAATTCAATAGTCATTCACAACTTTGTATCTGCAGGTCCTAATATACATTAGGTGTTGAAAATTTGTAACTTTTCATTCACAACTTTTGTTTCTATATTAACAAGTTTTATTTTTAAATTCGCAAAAATTCAATAGTCATTCACAACTTTGCATACGCAGGTCTTGATATACATCAAGTGTTAAAAATTTACAACTTTTCATTCACAATTTTTGTCCCTAGATTCGCAACAATGTAACAAAGAATTATAATTTATCAGTACCCCTGTAAATTGACTAAATAAAAAAAATGAATTACTATTCTAATCTAAGAAATAACAACTTTTATTAATTTAAATGACAACAAAACTTTAAAAAGTGACAACTATCTAAGTTTTATCAGTTACATGATCTATAACTTGCATCAAAATACTCTATAACCATTTTGACAAAAATATATAAAGGGCTAAATCTTCTAATGTCATCCCTTCTCTTATCATTTTTATCCTCACAGTCCCCCATCATATTATATTTTACCTTCAATATTTTATATAAAATGTCCCCCTATGTAAAAATAACAAAATAGTTAACTTCTAAAACTAGAAGCAAAAGAAATCATTTCTCATGCCAACCAAAAAAAATGAAATAGTCATTCATCAACATGTCTATTTTTCAAATGTCATAATCACATATATGTTATGTTTTATTCAATAACAATTATTTTTCTTATATTCACAACTTTATAATGATCATTTACAACCTTGGTTTGTGTATTTACAACACAACTGAAAATGATATATCATTTATTATTTATTCATGAGTAAGTGTCTATACCCATATATAGCAAAAAAAAAAAAAAATAAAGATCTCAATCATTTATACACATTAACCTACATTAACTTCAATTATTATATATGGGAGAAGAAATTTACCCACGTACAACACATTTAACAAATGAAGAATGATTGCTTACATATACCCACGTATAATAGTTTAACAAAACAAATCACCTACGTATAGAAACTTAAAAAGAAATAAGATAGGCGAGAAGGAGAAAAGGAGACGGACCAAAAAAAGAGCACAAAAACAAGAAGAAGAGGAGAACAAGAAGTCAAAGCAAAGGTAAGAACGTGCAAAGAATGAATTGCATTGAGGCTTGGGATTTTTGTTTTATTTAAAAGTAATTTAGTCATTTTTTTAATTTCTTAATAATAGAAACATCCCATAGGACTTCAGGAGAATTATATCATTTTATGATACCAATCTATCATTTACATAATTTAAATAGATTTTGTTGTTATTTTCCCAAAATCAAAATATCCTTTTGCAATAAAGTGGGTCCCGTACAAGTCTAAAATTCCCAAAATCAAAATATTTTTTAATAAAAGAAATATTATATTTATACTTGTGTAATATATTTCGTAGTGTACCTCTACTATTTTATAGAATATGCAATATAAAAAATAGTGAAAGAAACAATTGAACATCCTCGTCGACACCCCTCGAGATCCATGTCATGAACACTGCTGGAAACAGGGTCTTCCACGCAGCAATCCCTGCCTCTTCAGCTTTGGATATTTGGGCCTGTCTTGGTCTTCTCTTGCTCTCTCACCACGCTTTCTGTGCTTTACAGACTCGACCTTATTTTTTCATATTGGGAAGAATGGTAATAAGGACCTCGTTGAGAATCCTGATTCTGTGTGAACTTTGGTTGAATAATAAGGTCGGGACCCACTTAGAAACAAGTCACATACGTCGAATATAAATATAATTGAATCGAATATGATTTATAGTAATGGATTTCTATATTACTGTTTTTTAAGCAAGAGAAACAAATTTTCCAAGAATATTGCTCGTGATTGAGTGCGGCCTTAAATCGGTCACTGGCCGTAAACAAGATGTAATAAATAATTTTTTTTTATTTAACTATCTGACTTTAACATATTTAAATGTTGTTAGCCCCAATAAAAATATGTAGAGAAGAATATAGATTGCTTAAATATATGTGCAATTAGACTTACATTAATTATGAGATTGAAGAATATGGGCTCTCTCATCCTCACTATCATGTGCATGTAGTTAGAGGTTGTTCATGGTCTCCCACGGTCTATGTACCAGCACGCGATCAACTCCCATATCATCCGCTATGCTGATAAATTCCAGAACTGCAATAATATTCCCCGACTACGTGCATTTACTTTTGTCCCCCGAAAAAAAAAAAAAAAGTATATGCATATATTTTCATAGTAGGCTAAGACTTGGATATTATGATATAGTTGGGGAAAATATAAGATCCTCTCAACAATTTTGTTAGCCGCGTGAAGTCCTCTAATCTTTTAAATTTATCAAGCAATTAATATACCCATCTTGAAATAAATAATTTAATTTTGACCTAATCCCTCCAAAATAATTTGTCACTTGGCACACAGCTTCGTCGCTTTCAATCCTTGCCTCCTCACACTACGATTTAATTAATTAATCTTCCGCATGAAACGCTGCTCCACTTATAATCTCATGCTATATTGCTTTGCATGGTCACTCCAATAATATATCCATTACTTTATCAATTGAAAAAAAAAATTAAAGTTTAAAACTGCTTGCGCTCTGGCTACTCCTTTTTCTGCGTAAGAGTATGAATATAATATATAGTGATAGAGATTTAAAAAAGAAAAAACCCACAAAGGAAGGAGAAATCTTACACCAGGTGTAGATCTTTAAATGGACAATCTGAATGATATTGATACTGTAGAACCAAGCTCAAAACGCTGGCGACAGCTTAACACAGACGACCAAGCATATATTTTTCTAGTTAATTAATTATCGTAAACAATGAAAAAGTTATGACCAAACTTCATACATAATCAGGATTCTCAACGACTTCTTTATTCCCTTTCTTCCCACATGAAAATGTAAGGTCGAGATTGTAAAGTACAGGAACCAAGGTGAGAGAGCACAAGAAGACCAAGACAGGCCCAAAGATCCAAAGCAGAAGAGGAATTGCTGCGTAGAAGAGCCTGTTTCCCACAGTGTTCAGAATGAAGCCTTTCTCTAAGAGCTCGTGGAGGTACTCTGGTGTGACCAAGGACATTGGATCTTGAGGCGTGTTGATGAGGATGTTCACTTGGTTTATGAACCTTATGGACAGAGAGTGGCAGAAGAAGGAGAAGATGAAGATGGTGAGGAGGGTGACGTACTTAAGAACCACCATGAACTCCCCATGAGCTCCGTACACTGTGTCGTTGAGTGGCTTCTTCACACTGTAAGTACTGCTTATAACTGCTGCCAGGCCTGAACAGAGTAGGATGCAAGTTGTGGCCATTAGGGTCGAACCCATGATTGTGTTTCTCAATGACTGAACTGCTAGGATGTTCTTCTTCTCGTTGTCCTGTCATGATCCACACGTAAGTCACCCAAGAAATTAAATTGAAGGAACCAAACATGCCCGGAATGTGTTTGTGATAATGCTGGAACAAAACCGTGTCTGCCAATTCTTGATCACATGAATAGTCATTCTCTTTTATGAAGCTAATAATTAATATGGTCTACAGTTTCACAATTTGGAATGCTTTGTACTTTCTTTCTGTCTTTCAAGAGTCCCATATACGCAAGTCACAGGATCCAAATTAACGTGCCCAGAATATGTTCGTGGAAAATAGACGGAGTGATAGAACTGTACAAGATAATGGAAAATGTGCTGGCCACTTTGTTAAAGCAGTAATATCCTAGTTGCCTGCAAGGGCCTTATAGTATATCTTCACATATAAGAATATAGAATTCTTGAAGGTTCCGGTGCAACTCACACACATGATATGGTTTAAAAGTCAAGATTGACACAGAATATAGCCATTATTTTCACAGGCACCACACTATTGATTATCTAGCAGAAGAGGCATGGCAAAAGTTTGACATCACGCAACAACACTATAATGATAATGGAGGAAGAAGTTGCTACTGACATGGAATTCATTCGATATGATATGGACAGATACTGTTTATAGGCACATATGTCAGCATATACAGCTCAGGTGACATTTTGTTTAGGATTTGCACGCACATTTTCTAGGACAAACTAGAATTAACGCATTAAATTAAGAATCGAGGAATATTCAACAAATTATACCACACATCAGAAAGATAAAATTCCTGTCTTTATTATTTCTTTGCAAATTGTGCCAGAAAAATTTTCCGTGATAGACTATAGAAGATCCATTATCTTTCTGGGAACAAAAGCCCTTTTCTCGATCTTCCTTCCCTTGTCATTGATCATTCGGGCGATGCAATATGATATTGTAAGAAATTCAATCCCAGATTAGTTATAAAAAGGATAACAGAGAAAACCGGATACAGTCAGTATATGCACACACACACACACACACACACAACAAATGGATGCATGAACTTCACACAAACATGATGAAGAAAATGAAAGTGCAATCAAAGATCAGCAGGCCGTGTGTGTGTGGTAGGCATGCACGAACGAAGGAATATATATACCTTGATCATGTGAGCAACCCAGTTTCGGCGGCCACTGGCATTGATGCCGATGATGGTAGTGTGAGGCTGAGTCCTAACTCTGTGCCAGAGCCACATATGGTAACCAAAGTTCAGTAGAATTGCCAGAGGCACCAAAATCACGTCCATATAACATTTCCTCCATTCCATCTTTCTCTCTCGGCCCCGTTCTTGTGCCTTTGTTTCTCTTTTAAGAACTCGAAACAAGAAGTGCTGAGACGATTAGTTCTGGCTCCCTTCTCCCTGCGAGCTGTGTGATCATCATCTTACGATATATTTATACACGTCGAGTAATAAGAAGAATGCATGTGGACACCTTTCGAACGAGTGGTTCAGCGTGCAAATGAAAGTTATTGTGAACAAGAGAAAAACCCTTTCTTTTTGTCTATTTTACAAATCTGATCCCATATGCATTTTGCTTTTTTTTTATTATAATGCAAGTGGAATCTTGTGCCTTTGTCGACCCCTTGTAACTACTTTTAGTTCACTGTGATGTTTGTCGTGCGTGCTTTACATTTATAAGTTCCCATATAGTGTGATGCGTATATATTACAAGTTCAATTCAATAACCCCCACAAACAATAACACGAAACGTAATTCTCGGTACATAATCGTTACTATGGGACAGAAATGGGAAAAAATATGATGTGCTCTCACTTGTCATATGGGACTCACCATTCTCTTTGACTCAATTTCTAGTTCAAAATTGCACGAATTTGGAAAATCTATTCCAGATCAAAACACCCCCCCCAACACACACGCACATATTATTGCGTGCAATTTGTCCTGAGTATATAAGAATATTGCTATATATGGTGTGTCTATATATATTGTATTGTTTTGACTCTAATATATATTAAATGTTAAATTAAAGAACCAAAAGTCGAAGACGATAACATTTTATATTGTCCTCATGCCGCTCAAACTTGGATAGTACATCATCCTTGCCCGCTTTACTTTTAACCATATATATACGTGACCAGTAACCACTTTTAAATTTTAATTGTCATACAAATTAAAGTAAATGTATTTAGACATAGTGTAGCATGTTTTTTTAGCTTCGATAATTTATGATCCCATCATATCGACGTTCAAATTGCGGATCTTAAAGCGTTGTAATATTTGTATGTAGAATTTTCCAAGTGACTTTAATATTATACCAAGAAAGTCATGATTAACAGAGATAATCGTTTAGTTGGACCAATAGAACTTGTCTTTTTAGTGGGGAGAATCCGATAAAATAGAAATATAATTCTTATATTTGATTTATATTGTGTTTTATATTTTTATAGAACATATTTGTAACATGCAATTTCCATAAAAGAAATAAAAGTATTGTAAACTAATGCGGAAGAAAATTGAAAAATACGTATATACTCATGATGCATTGAATTGAATATAAGAAAAAAATAAAATAAGAGGGGCAAATGAAGAGGAATGGCAAAACGGTTAGTCGGCGAAAGAGACAGGGGTAAAATGGGGAAGAAGGGGTAGAAAGTGAGAAGTGACAAGGCGCATTAAACGTTGGCCGAGGATGAGAGAAGATAACCGAAATTGGGGTAGCCACCCCACGCCTCGCTCATGACTGGTTAATGCAATAAAAATGTGCTCCGTACCTACTTTTTTAAAAAAAAAAGAAACAAAAATATTAAGGTGTACAATGAAAAACAGGAACAAAAATATTAAGGTACACAATGAAAAACATTTGCCGTAACAATCAAATTTTTAAAAGCCAACATGTATGAACGGTGGCTCTTGTGTCGACGGGGAGGATTATAAAAAAACTGCGGCCTAGCCCCACTGTTGGAATTTTGCACCTCTAAATAACATAAACTAAATATTGGGCTATAAAATTCATTATGTACTATTTTAGCTTAAGTCTTGTAGATTTAAACCCAAAATTTTAAACTTGCTTGACCCAAACATTTGTAAAAGAATGGTCCAGAAGTTAGTTTTTTTTTTTTTTTACATTCACACAAATTGAATTGAACCTATAACTTTTTTGTTTAAATAGTCATGATTTCTTTCATTTTCAACGTCTGATGGCACATTATTATAATTATAACTTTCATTAAATTGAAAGTACTAATTAATTAACAATCATTAACTTTAAAGTAGAAGTTGAGGCATTAAATCAAATCGGGGATATTTGTGAATTAATGTATTGGCGAGGTATTGATTTATTCTTTGTATTAAAGAATGGAAAGCATATTATTTATACTCCCTCCATTTAAAAATATAATTTGATGGGTTGGATATTAAAAATATAAGAAATTTTTAATTTTTTTATGTGTAATCATTATTTTTTAAAAAAAAAATTTATTGAATAAATTACTTTATATTTATTTTAGGATGTTTATAAGGATAAACATAAAAAGTAAAATTGGTTTGAAAATAAATAACTATTTTATTAAAGGTGAGATTTAATTAAAAAAATTTTACATTTTTAAATGGATGGGGCATGATTTTCTACTCAATACATGTTCTTTCGAGTGTACTTATAGAGGAATAAAAACATATAATTATTATTATTGCATATTTTTACATTTTACATTTTCATTTTTAATGTAAATATTTTATATTTTTCTGATAAATTTATAGCAATATAAAAATAGAAACAATTATGAAAAAGCCCATTATTTATAAATTATAAAGGAAAAATAAATCATGTGACTCATCATTAGATCTACAGTGCAACATTGCAGAAAGTCTCCATCTACTTCTGCTTGTGGAGGGATGGTTCATGTTCCAGGCTTTGATATATAAGCCGGTGAACACTAAAGACAAGCCCTTTAAAATACAAGAAAATAGGTTTAGAAATTAATCAATTTACTTATATTTATATAATAATGTCATCTTGGCTTTTCAAGTTTATTGGAAATTTTCCAAGTTTAGATGACTGTTTTCTGTTTCAGTATTGTAATGCTGTAGTTTGTATACTATTTTCTGCTTGGGGTGTACAAGACCAATTTTAATCATTTAATAATCTTGTTAGCCTAAAAATGCAAAGCTCAATTAAATGGGTCACTGCTTTTGGGAAAGTGGGTCAAAGCGAAGAACATAAAGAGCAGATAAAAACAAGTGATCGATAAAGAGAGTTCACAATTCTCGTCATTCATCAGCATTCCTTAGATGTGATGTGCACTCTGGAGGATCATTTAATATAAATTAATAAAGAAAACAAGTTTAGCATGTTTCGATCAAAAGAGGAAGCCATGATTGAGCTTTTTTTTGGTCTATGTGATTTATGGTGGACAATGTACATCATTGTTGGAAATGTCTAGATATCTTTATATAAATTTCCTCTTATTCAGCGCACTTGTTAAGCCAAGTTTCTTCTCAGCACAAGAACACGATTTAAGTTGTGGTTGAAAAAAAAAAAAAAGATGAGAATTCGAAGAGTTCTTGTATTCAAAAAGTGAATCATGTAAAATTATTATGTTAAACATTTCACGATTAGCATGGTGAGCTAGCTTGTTAGTATAGTTATTATTTTCTCTTAATATGTGAAGGTGAAGGCTAAATGTAATAGAGAAAACAAAGGTTTCTTCTCTCTCCCCTTCTTTAAACTTTCGAGTTATAATATTCATGGAATTAAAATAATATGTGTATATATCTATATATTATCGCAGGCTAAAATAAATTATGAAAATAAAAAAGAAGTGTCCAATCATATGTGTAATGAGGGGCCATAAATAAGTGGGTGGCCAACAAAGCCAATGGAAGAAGTGGACTATTATTAAGATATCCACCTTCCTTCACCATCCACGGTTTGTCCAGTCTAGTGCTCCCACACCCACAAAACAAAACAAAGCCAAGCCATCACAAAATCCTCATCTTTCTTCTACTTTTATTACATTTGAATTGAGACGTCCCCCATTATTCTATTTCATTTATGTGGCACTTGCTTCTGTTAATTTATCCCAAAATACCTAACATTTTGAGCACCCAATGAAGACATTAAGGAAACCATTAACTAGAATATACCTCCTAATGTTCTCCGCCACCATTACCCTTTGTTTTTGCTTAATTAAATTACTGGCCTTACCAAATTAAATTTGAGGTCAGTATTGCAGTATATGGATGGATTTGTGTTTTATGCGCATTCAATATGAATGATACTAATCATTGATCAAACAGACTAGGATTTTCTCCATTTCCTTTTTATTCCACTGCTCATCTCAACTGTTACAAATTTATGGTCTGTGTCATGTAACACACACACAAAGTAGTTTTACTAACTATCACTTAAGTTCCATTGTCGTGCACATCTCCCGTGTTTCTTTTCTTGGCGTATCTGAGTCAGGTGGGGATCTACCATGTTACACTTACAGTGTGCAGCCAAAAGGGGAAAAAAACAAAGAAAGAAAATTATTCTAAGGTCCCTTTCAATACAATTAATTACTCCTAAGTCCACTCTTAAACTCAGTTGTCAATGAATATGGGAGTAACTAATCAATAAGTGAGACTTATCTGTAATTCTCCCAACAAAAAAAATACAAATGCTGAGCCCTTTTTTAATTTAAGCAGGTTAAGAGCAAAATGCTAAAAATGTCTCTAAATTCCACCGCCCCATTATGGTCTCGATCATGCATGGCATGGATCAGGCGAAGCTCTTCATGCCTGTAATAATTTCTTACACCACTTGGGAGGGTGACTCTCAGACACATTAGTAACAATCGTTTAAAGATTGTCTATAGAATTGTAAACTATCCCAACTAGGAATTTTAATCCCTTTTAGACACTTGATATTTGTTTCTCCTAGTGCCACCGAGGTGGTCCACTAGGCTTGGAGCAACGCAGATTTCAAGATGGCAGTGGAGGGTTTTTGATCAGACAACTAGGTGCATTCATATTTTGATTTTCCTAGAGATTCGCCTCAAATTTCAAAGGAAAAATGATAAAAAAATTCATTTAAATTATGTAAATTATAGATTGGTCTCACAAAATGATATAATTTTTCTAGAGTTCCATAAAATATTTCTATCATTAGAGAATTAAAATAAATGATCAAATTGCCTTCAAATAAAATAAAAATCTCAAACCTCAATGTAGATTCATTCTTATGTGTTTTGCCTTTGCCTCTACTTCGTCTTCTTATGCTCCTCTTTTTTTTTTCTTTGTGCTCTTCTTCTAATCACTCTCCTTCTTCTCTTTTTTCTTCTCGTCTATCTTTTTTTTTTTTTGAGTTTCTATACATGGGTGATCTATTTTATTGAGCAACTGAACATGGATATATGTAAGTAATCATTCTTTCTCTAGTAGTTGTGTTGTATATGAGTTAATTTCCTCTCCTCCTTGAAAATTTCTCCTTCTATATGTGATAGTTAAAGTTGATATAGGTTAATGTGCATAAATGATTGAGGTCTTCATTTTCTCTATTATACTATACGTGGATATAAATGCTTACTCATGCATAAATGATAAATGATATATTATTTTTAGTTGTATTATAAACGCATAAATCAAAGTTGTAAATGACCAATATAAAGCTGTAAAGATAAAAAGAATAGTTGTTGTTGAATGATACATAACAGACATGTGATTATGATGTTTGAAAAATAGACATATTGATGAATGACTATTTCATTGTTTTATGTTAGCATGAGAAATGACTTCTTTTACTTCTAGTTTTAGAAAGGAACTATTCTGTTATTTCTACATAGGAGGACATTTTGTACAAAATATTGAAAGTAAAATATAATATGATGGGAGGGTATGAGGATAAAAATGATAAGAGAAGAGATGACACTAGAAGTCAACCCTTCATATATTTTTGTCAAATGGGTTATAGAGTATTTTGATGCAAGTTGTAGATCATATAATTGACAACAAAACCTTAGATAGTTATCACTTTTTAAAGTTTTCTTTTTATTTAAATTAATGAAAGTTGTTATTTCTTGAATTAAGGTGGTAATTCATTTTTGCTGATTTAATTAATTTACAGAGGATACTGATAAATTACAATTCTTTATTGCATTTTGTGAATCTAAAGACAAAAGTTATTAATATATAAACAAAAGTTTTGCATAGAGAGGTGCAAATTTTCAACACCTGATATATATCAAAACTTGTATATGTAGAGTTGCGAATGATTATTGAATTGTTGTAAATTTATAAATAAAAATTATTAATATAGGAACAAAAGTTGTGAATGAAAAGTTGTGAATCTTCAACACTTAATGCATATCAACACCTGCAGATGTGGAGTTACAAATAACTATTAAATTATTACGAATTTAGAAACAAAAATTGTTAATATAAAAACAAAAGTTATGAATGAAAAGTTACAAATTTTTTACATCTGATGCATATCAAGACCTACAAATCAGGACTTGCGAATAGATATTATTGCAAATTTAGAAACAAAAGTTGTTAATATATGAATAAAAGTTGTGAATGAAAAGTTATGAATTTTTAACACTTGATGTATATGAGGACCTGCAATCAGGACTTGTGAATAAATATTAAATTGTTATGAATTTAGAAATAAAAATTGTTAATATATAAATAAAGTTGTGAATAAGAAGTTGCAAATTTTTTTAATTTGAATAAAGGGCAAAAGCATTATTTCCTATAATTTCCTAATAACAGAAATAGCCTTTGAAACTCTAGAAAAATTATGCCATTTTATGAGATCAATCTATCATTTACATAATTTAAATGAACTTTTGTATCATTTTCCAATTTGAAATGATAAGATTCTTTTTTATGGCAGAAGCGACATAGTATCTTTCATTACCCAAAATTGTATGGAGCATCCTTTTGAGTATCATTGTCAAATTCTTCTATGAAATTCATTTAATTAATTTTTAATTGAGTGAAGTAAATTAAGTATATACTGTATAGAACTTACTTTATAGAAGTGGTAGGACATGATTCAAAGAAAAATAGAAATTAAAAAGCAAAAATTAATATTAATATAAAAGGAAGCAACAAAAATAAGTTGTCCTATTTTAAAATTTTTATGTTGAGTATTATAATCTACCAATATAGATAGATTTTATTTCAATAATTTATATTTAAAATATATTTAAATCAAATTATAATTATATTTTATATTTTAATTATTTAATCATACATTTTAAATGGTTATTTATTAGTAAAAATAAACTTTTATGAATTTACAATTTGAGTTTATATTCCTATCATGAGTTTACTTTAACTCATGAATTTAATAACCTTGGTTAGGTTTCAAAACTCTAAGTTAATGACAATTAAATCCTCAAAAAAATTATAAAATAAATTGTAAATTTAAATTTAAATAGCTACAAGTAGAAATTTTTGTTACAATTTAAGAATTACCCTTGATACTTAAATACTTATCTATAATTAAAACTCTTAAATTTGTAATTATCAAAATTGATACTCTTATCTAACTTTTAAAAAAAATTGCTAAGACTTAACTATCATTAATTTAATAGTTTAAAATTTAACTATCATTCTCCTTTTAATTCTCCTTTTAATTGCATTGAGTCCATCTAGCACCCTACCCTCATCCAACACCTGAGTCCCTCTATTTCATCTTAAGCAAAGCTCAACGTCAACAAGAGTCCACGCGACTCACATATATACCGTTATGGCTTGTTATTTCCATATCATCAGCATTTGCTATCCGCCTCTACATAAACTTCAGGCTGAATGTGCCAAAAATACACGCTCAGACATAGACTAGGCACCAATAACTTCTCGTAAAATTGGCTAAGTAGATAGCAAATTTTAATGGCATTGTAGATATACAACACATCTTATCTGTTTCTGTAACCTATGTTTACATAACTTTCATCCTTCACGGCATTGTTGAGGGTTCCATCTAATGACTGTGCGCTCTTCTACCGTATAATTTGCCAAGCATGAAGGTGAATCATCACCAATACCATTTTTAATGATGTACAGAACCAACAAAGATTTCGCAACACTTCCAAGTAGTCGGGTTGTGCAATGAAAATCAGACCACTCTCTCAATCTTCCATTACAATTATCATCATCTCCACCTGATAATACAAGTACCCCATACTCAGAATGAACCAGAGCTGGATGGTGGCGATAGACAACAAAGTCAACGCCATACTGACCTCCTGGCCTCACTACCCAATTTTTCAATCGAAGGTGAGAATAACCTTTGTAGAAACAGGGGAATGTTTTTTTCTTGAATTTCATGCAATGCCATAGCTCTTGATCATCTTCGGGGATGTTATCACTGCCATTAATTTTAAGGCATTTCAATGAATAGCAAAGGTAGAAGGCTTCCTCCAAGCCTAACTGAAACCACTGTTTGTCCTTCTCAACTGTGCTCACCGGTTGACCAAAGCATGCTTTAACAAACATATCAGTTTGTTCTGCTCCAACTGCAACACGGACACTATTACCAGAGAGAAATCCAGTAGCCTCTGATTGAACTAGAGAACACTGAAGCTGAGATATTATCTTTGACATAGGCTCTTTGTGTGCTTCAGCTTCTGAATCTTTTTTAGCTTTTGCATCTTTCCCTTTCCATCTTGGTGACATTTTGCCTTGCAATGTGAGTAATCGATGCTGTTAATTCAGCGCTGGAAGGTTAACTAAAGCTCAATCTAGAAGTTGAACGATTCGTTTTAAGAACTTGTTGACGAGAGGACCAAAGCCCTTTGCGGTGCCTGATAAAGCCCAGAGTCAATTTCCTATCAGAACTTACAAATATTTGACAGTTTTGAATATTTACTCACATATTCTGTTTAAAAAACAGAAGAAGAATATTTACTCACAAACTTATGAAACCAACTAATCAAACATACTAAGAAAATTAAGGTTAATACCAAGAAAAAAAAAACAAATCAAGCAAAATATTATACAAGAATTTAGTTCAAATAAACAAATTTAAAACAAAAGGCCTCCATTGTCTTTCAATTTACGCATTTCAGAAACTCCTATGTTAGTAGAGGCGTCAAAATGGGCGAGGTGGTCTTAAGGGCCGGCAGATTCAAGGTTACCCGTGGCTTGGCTAGAACTCAATTCTGGCCCTCAAAGCTTATGGGGTTTAGGCAGGGCTAGCTCACATACATTTTCCAATAATCCCAAATTTTTGTATTATGATCTGGCAAGTTGCAACCAAAACCAAAATATCAAACGCAGTGCAGGCGGACCTATGCTACACTGAAATCTTTGAAATATGCATAGTTGACATAATACCCTTTTAATTTTCGTTCCAGATACTTTGACACAAGTCAGCCAAGTCATTTACAAGATCATACACCACAAATACCTTGAGAACGGGCAAACGGGCTGTGGGCCAACTTGTAAGCTACCTGGCGCTGGCTGGGTTAGGGCTAGCCTGCAGGTTAAGTGGGTTGAAAAAATCCAATTCAACCCGTGCAGGCTGAGGCTGATCATGCAACCTGATTTTCTTTTTTATTTTATTTTGTAAAATGATTTAAATTTTTTATAACATACTACAATCAAGTGATCAACACATCCAAGACGGCAGAAGCTGGTTCTCGCTTTCAACTTGGAAAAAAAAAAGATAAAATTTTTAGAAAAGTGGCTTCAAATATGAAGCTCGCAATCAAGTTTCAAGTTGACCCCGTAAACGACGATCAACAACAGCAAATTATGACAGCCAAGCCCAAGGCACCCACCACCAATCCATACTCAACCAACCTTTCATTTCCGCTATCGTAGCCTCCACTGCCGACTTGGCTTCTGATTTCTCCTTCTGGCTCATCCCCCAAGCTCTCTTCCACTCCCGGCCACCAACACCACCACTCTCTTTCTCCAGTAGGCAATTATGACAGCACCATTAAGCTAAATTTTCAGAAGAAGACATTGAGTTTGCAAGCTTACCTGTTGGAACTTTGATTGAAGCAGAAATGAGACAGGGTCAGATATTGGACTATGGCAGCAACTCCGACATAAACAAGAACAAAGAAGAGATGAAGACAATGCAGAAATGGGAGAGGCTCAGACGATATAAAGATGATCTGCAAGCTTCACGTGGTTGTAGAAGAGGAGTGAGCCACGAGATGACGTCGTGGAGAGGACGAGACGAGGACAATTTGCAGCGAGATTTTCTCAGAGCGCAAGATTTCGAGTCTTCGAGAAGCACAGGCGAGAGCGCGAGCTTCGACAATTAGCAGCGGCGCCAAAGAGAAGACGAAGGCGTGGAGCAGACTCAGCAGAGTTCTTTGGCGTTTATGGCGACGCTTAGCAAGGTTGTTAACTTGTTCGGCGTTTTAGGTTTAGGGATTTAGAAATGGGGAAGCCGTGATGAGATACTTTGAACAATAGGCTACAGATTGACAAGGCGGGAGACTGGGTCACTGGATATGGTGGAGTGGCAGTGCGCTAACGGCTTTTCATGAGCTGGACTTGATTTAGTAAAAAAAAAATTAAACAGGCTAACCTGTTTAGCTCGCTTTTTTTAGGGCTTGAACTTACTCAACCCATCTTAAAAAATAGACTCATTTTCTCAATCCAAACGAGGTGAACCCATTTGCCCGGCTCTACTAAAGTGAGGCCAAGGTGGGGACGCCGATTTGCTTGAGGGAGTGACTCGTGAGGCATTTCGAATTTTGAGTAAGGCTATGTTTTAATATTTTTTTGTGAATTTAATTGATATAATAAAATTAACTTAATTAACTTAATTTATATTCCCTCCGTTTAAAAATATAAAACATTTTTAACCTTTTGAGATATAATTATTATCTTTTTTTAAAAATACTTCTATTGATAATGACTTTATATTTATTATAGATTATTTAATATGAGTAAATATAAAAAAATATAATTAATTAGAAACTAGATAACTATTTTATTGGGGGGTGAAATTTGATTAAAAATATTTTTTTTAACGAAATGAGTATTACATATATACTAATATAACCAAATTGTATATATATTTATTAATTTATTAATTAGAAAAAGTAAAAGTTCATCAATCCTACTAATAAACTTGTAGGCCTTGCTTAATTGGCCTATTTAATTAAATAAATTTGATTATAAACTTGGGCCTGGCTTTTTAGTTAAATAGGCCAGGATCAAGCCTAAATAGAACGGGTTGTAAGCTGGCTACAAAACCCCTCGCCTATTCCTATTCTTAAATATGCCTCTCCCAATGATGGGTTTTATCGAAGTTGTAATTAATTTTAGAAAAAATTTGGTATAGGTCCAAAATTAATTATTCAAATAATCAAATTAATTACTTTAAATAATAAAATTTATTTTATTAATTTATACTTAGATTTTTTATATTAAATAGTATTAAAAAACCCTTTTGTATCAGATAACATTCTTAAGAAACTCTTGGATATACTAAATATACTTTTAGTTTCTTATTTTCATTTTTTAAATTTTTTTCTTACTCATTTTTTAAATTTTTTAAATAATTAAAAAGAATCTTAATATTTTACTATGTTTAATTAAATGAAAGAAATGAAGTTTACTTGAAAAAAATAAAGTAGATAAAAACATATGTTAACCCATGGTCTTGTATTAAAACAAAATATATATGAATAGTTAAGATAATAATTCAAAAATATATATAAATTTGAAATCCTAAAATAACTATTACAAATTATAGGGTAAATTGGCCTAATGGTCGTGAAAAATATATTTTTCATAAATCATGATTGAGGTTTTTGAATATTTTAAAATATGACCTATGCACAAAATTAATTAGAGGTGATTTTTTTTTATCCACAGAACAAATATATTATTAAAACGCTTTGTATAAACTAATCCACGAATATAACTCCTATAACTAACTAAATAATTTTAACATTTAACTAAGTGATTTAAATCCTTACACACATGTTCATCATATCTCTCCCCCTTTCACAATCGTTCCTTCCCTTTTTTGATGAGCAAAGAAATCAAGGTAATATTCACAAATTACTTTCTTGTTGTTCTCACAAGTGCACTTTTCTACCAAAGACGTCCCAACATGAGTAATTCAATTTTGTGCCCATGTAAATGAGTCTCAGTGCTAGGCTTTCTTGCTCGAAGATGAATGTAAACCTAAAACTTTCATTGAGAAAGGGTATTTGATTTTCTGTGATGAGTTAATATGTGCAAAAATTTTTATGTATTGTGTTTGATCTATTTTTGGATAAATGATTATGTTTTTTCATGTTTCTATTCCACAACAGTATATTAGTGATATACAATTATATGTCACTAATAAATCATATCAGTGAAAATTTATTAACACTATTTAATCTTATAGATATGGGGATGCTTAATCTCATCATTTTTTATAATGAAAAATGATATTTATTAGTTTAGGTGAATGATTTTCTGTGATAAGCTAAGATGTTCAAAAAATTTTACTAACTGTATTTGATTTGTTTTAAGCAAGTGATTATATTTTTTCATGTTCCTGATATTCGATAACATATCAATAATATATAATTGTATATCAATGATAAATTATATTAGCAAAAACTTATTAACATTATTTAATCTTATAGATATGGGACTCTTAATCTTATTATTTCTTTTTTTAAAAAAAGGTCAAATAAAGCTCTTTTCCGTCTTTAAGTATATGAAAAAAGGTTTTCATAAAAAAAAGTAATATTTGAAAGAAGGCCATGTTATTTGCAAATAGGATAGTTTTGTCATGTAAAGCTCTGCTAAATATTAAAATGATCATAATATAAAATATAGTAAATATTAAACTGTTTATTAGGTTTTGTTATATAAAATGGCATGTATTTGCAAAAGCCCCATTTTTATATCACGTGTAAATATATTAAACATTTCTGAGTAATAAAATACAAATTTTAATAAAAATATTTCAGCTTTTATGAATATACATACATAATAATTATAAAAAAAATAACAGAAATTTTATGTTTTACATTGATATTTATTAAATTATATTAAATTAAAATGTATGTTAACTTAAATAGATAAAAAAAGAAGAGAATGGAATACCAATCATTACTTGTTAACTTAAATAATAACATTTTTTAAAAAGCACTTCAATAAGAAAATTGCTTTCACTGATTTTTTTTTTAGAATTCATGTTTTTAAAATGAGCTCCAAGAAAAACGAGGTAACAAATCAGAATGGAGAGAGAGAGAGAGAGAGAGATGAACTAGCTACTCGATCTTTAGAAGGCAAAAAATTGAGAAACACGAAGACATCCTTCAATGGTCGTAGAACTCAGAACACATCCAACCCAACGTCAGTGAGTGACAAGGGTTTTCATGCACAAACATGGCAAAATGAGGGACTTAATATTAAATTAAATTAAATTAATGATTAAGTTTGGAGGGAAAAAAAGAATGAAAGGGAAGTGCTTAATTTTTAAATAAAAGAAAAGAATGGAATACCAATTATTACTTGTTAACTTAAATATCAATTAATGGAATACCAATTATTACTTGTTAACTTAAATAATAACATTTTTTTAAAAAGCACTTCAATTAGAAAATTGCTTTCACTGATTTTTTTTTAGAATTTATGTTTTTTAAAATGAGCTCAAGAAAAACGAGGTAAAAAATCAGAATGGAGAGAGAGAGAGAAAAAGATGAACTGGCTACTCGATCTTTGGAAGGCAAAAAATTGAGAAACACGAAGACATACTCCGATGGTCGTAGAACTCCGAATACATCCAACCCAACGCCAGTGAGTGACAAGGGTTTTCGTGCGCAAACATGGCAAAATGAGGGACTTAATATTAAATTAAAATAAATTAATGATTAAGTTTGGAGGGAAAAAAAGAATGAAAGGGGAGTGCTTAATTTTTAAAAATGCTTTAACGCTTTGGGAAACTTTAGTCGGGTTCCTCTGATTTCTGGCCATGTGGGCTTCTTGTTTTTTTATTCGAGGACGCTTTACAAATTTCCAATGGGTCTCTTCCCATGTTGGGCTTCTTCGGGTGTTTTGTTCGGGTTGTTGGCCCTTTCTCGCCTTGAATATCAATTATCACATATTAATTATTAATTATTAATTAATGTATATAATTCATGTATTATTCTATTAACATTGTACTATTTTTTTAACTTAATGATTTAGTTGCATTGTTGATTGGGGTAGGTGCCAAATTAAATCAATTAAATGGTCAAGCTATCTCTTCATGCTTGGCAATAGATGTATAATCTTAACCCTTTATTTGGACGGTTAGAAGAGAAAAACAAGAAGGGGTACTTTTTTAAAAATAATGAATACAATAAAACAAGAGGGAATTTTAACAAAGGATTAAGGATGTGATATAAGTATAAAGAATGCTTGTTAATTTTTTTTTTCAGTTTAAGAGGATTGAAATGAAATTAATTTAAATTATGAAATGACTGAAATAGCCTCAATTTTAAACATTGAAAAAATAATGGTCAGATTTTCATATAAAATTAGAGAATTAATAATTAAAGTTAGGGAATTAACAACCAAGTTACTTCATAAACTTTGATAAACTAATTAAACAAATTTTCTCATTTTATCAAGAATTAACAAGTCAAGTAAAATAATTTATAAATAATGTTAAAAAATTAACAAGTAAAGTTATAATATTAATAATTGATGTTAATTTTATTTCAGTCTTCTTGGGCTAAATTGAAATTTTAAATTTTATTAACCCGTCTTTATTTTTACGTCACATTTTTAATCCTATACTGAAATTCTCCCTTAAAACAGTGCCTAATCCTTGCGGTCATGCTATAAATGAAAGAAAATAAATGCAATTAATATAAATAGAAAGTAAAATATAAGAATGTGGAAAGAGGTTAACAATTTTTTTTTTTTTTTTATCGAAGTAGGAAAAGGACATGTCACTGGGCTGATTCGATGGTAAGCGAAATTGATAATTGGTGTAATCCAATTAGCTGGCAGAATGATACGAGTTGACAAGGCCAGAGAAAAGATTCCCAATTACGCATTGTTGATGGCATTCTTAATTCAAACAATTAATTTAGTAGTTTAGGAAAGTCTGCCGGTGGGAGGTGGGAACTACCTAATTACCATTTCTTTATGATGAACTTGTACCCCGATTCAATTGTTTGGCTTTTTAATTCAATATTTTATCTATTCCTAACTCTTTCATGTTTTTTCATTGCTTCATTTTTAGACTCTTTTAAAATCCGTATTAGTATGAAAATTGGCTGACAATATTTTTTTTTTACTTAGCTTCATTCCTCTTTTGCAAAAATATTTAATATATTATAATAAAAGAAAATTATTTGTCTAAGTCTACCGGCACTTTGTTAAAAATTTGTTACTCCTTTCGTTAAAAAAATATAAGATATTTTTTAAAGAATTAAATGTTTAAAAATGTAAAATATTTTTAATATTTTAAGGTGTAATCATTGAAATTTTTAAAAATTATCCTATGAATAAATTACTTTATATTTATTTTAGTATTAAACACCTTATTAAATAATAAATAATAATAAATATTAAAAAATAATGTCAGTTTGAAGATAAGTAACTATTTTATTAAAAGATAATATTTGATTAAAAATATCTTATATTTTTTAATAGAGGAGTATTCATTAAAATGATGCTTAAAAAAAAAAATAGCTGTATCCTCCTGTGTATCTATGTGAGATGCTTGAAAAGCTTAATTTTGATTGATAAAAATCACGATGTTATGTAATATTTCAAATATAATTAATAAATTCTATGAAAATGCGTGCTTGATGCTGCCGAAATCTCTCCATTTGCGGTAATCTGATGCCACTGCCTCTGTAAGTTTTGGGAGTGGGATTCAACACCTTCCATCTACAAAAACATTTTATTTTTCTTAATGTTTTGAGGCATAAAAAACATACTTTTAACTTAAAGGGAAAATTGTCATCAAATCCCTCTTTAAAAGAAAAATTGTTCAAAGGGATCAAGATCAATTTAAGGATAAAATGTACATCAGACTTATCACCTTGCATTCCAAGCTAGTCATCTTGCACCCCGAGTCAATCACCACACACCTAAAGCATATCATACTGTGCCTTGCACCCTAAACTTATCATCTTATACCTTACTCTTCAATTCTATCACCTTGTACCTTACACACCAAACACTTTGCACCTTAAGCCTATCATTTTTTGCCTTGAGCCTAACATCTTGCATATTAAATCTATGACTTTGCATGATAAAGTTTCGTGTTAATATTCAAAAATGTTATGTAACTTATTTGCTTACTGTCTAAACAATTCACTGTTAATGTTATTTACTTATTTATTTTTGTACACCGTCATTTTCAAGATAATAAGTTGTATTTTTCATGAAATTTGCATCTTTATGGTGTATCAAATAAATAGGTTTGGGGTGTAAGATGATAAGTCTGTTGTGCATTTGGTCCTTACAATAGTTTTAGTTATTCAAGACAGTTTCCTTTCAATGAGAGGTTTTATGACAATTTCCTCTAATTTAAATTAATTATTTATTTATTGACAAGGGATATTCAAAACAAAAACTGCATATAGATACATTTATGGATACCAAAAATGGCACGCGATGAAGAGGAATCATGTATGTAAAAGGTTTTAAAGAAACAACTAAATTGTATAGCCGATTTCAAATAAACAGCTGGGAGTACAAATCAAAGAAAAAGCGTCTATAAAAGCATTTTTAGTTATGATCAATTCAATTGAAAATTTAAAAGAAGTTTGTTATTTGATTGGATATTTAGAAGCATTTCATCAAACCTTTTAATTTGTAATAAAATAGTCTTCCAACTCCCATCACCGTGACCATTTGATTATCTTTATTTCACCCTCAAAGTTCTCCAATTGATGCAACGAATGCGGATCGAGTTAGAAGCCCCTTAATGATTTTCCAATCATTGTCTAGTTATAGAAGTCAAGTCAAATATCTCTTCCATGTTTTCTTTATTTTATCACTCTCTCGACCCATAGCAAGATTTTAGGAAAAAAAGAAGAACAAAGAATTGAGAATTTTTTAATATATGCATATTAAGATAGTTTTTTTTTTTTTTTACCAATAAAGCATTTGTGAGTTAGGTCTTAAAAGTTCACCAAAATTAGGGCATGCAACAAAATTCAATGAACATTTAATGTACTTATAAACTACCTACTAACAAAATTGTCATATGGGCAACAAAATTTAAACTCATGACTTTTTAAATTATAAATAAAATCATCATCAACTGGACCAATATTTATTGGTTATATTAAAATAATTATTGTAGTCCACATTGTTATGCCTTGTATTGGAAGAATTTGGGAGAGTCATAGCTATATAAATAAGTATGTTGTACGTTTTATTAAGCTTATTTTTTGAAGAGAGAGTAGTGATTTCATGATAAAGTAGTATTAGAGTTGGGCTTGAGTTTATCCAATTAATAGAACCTTTCGATAGATTACTGGTGATAGGAACATCATGGACTAGCCACAAAAGTTATTATGTCCTATATTGAAAAAAATTGAGAAAAGTCCTAATCAAAAAGTAAGTGCTATATATCTCACTAAATTATTTTTTTGATAAGAGAATAATACATCTAGAATAACTTGCAATCATATATGACATTTAATAGTTATATATCACTCCAAGGGCCAATCAATGGTGCTATTTTTAGGTGTTCGTTTTAATATAAATTTATGGTCCTCTCCTAAACCTCCCAGGAATATTTCATTGTCTCCACCTAAAATTGATTGACATTGCATTGAAAATATCTTTTCCTTTTGCTATAAATAACGGAAACTTAAGCTAATTAACTACTAATTTCTTCCTTTGATATTAATGATTAAGTCATATATCCAATGCACCAAAAGAAAATTTTCAGAAAAAATCACGTCCAATGAATTCTACCACATTTCTTCCCACAGTGTCAAGGATATAAAATAGTTTTATAGTTTTATTTATAAATTAAATTTAACATATTTCATCAAAATTATTATTTTTAAATTCATTGGCCCTATTTTAAAATTTAATAAGTTTTTAACTTTATCTCTATTAAATATATATATATTTTAATAATATATTTTTTTCATTGAAATTTAATAAATAGTAAAAAAGAAGAAATTATATTAAAAATTAATCATGTAACAAATTTTTCTTTCTTTCTTTTTAATAGTTAGGATCAAGAGAATATCTGGTCAAATACTTCTTGGGGAATTTGTTCTGGTAATTCTACTCGATTTGGTCCAAATTAGCCCTCGTTCAACGGACTTTGAACGCTCAAGGTTATTTTAGTTGTACACGTAAAATTTCAAGTTTCACTGTCACATCCTTCTGACTACTGAGGTCAGAAACCACAGCAATCAGAACACAACCGACTTATAAAACTATTTTTTCAATCCTTCCAGATCTTACCAAACCAACTTTTATAATACCTTCTCTTTGAAAAAACTGAAATACTTTTTTAATTTTATTTATAAATTATTTTTATTATTTTTTTAATATTAATATAATAAAAATATAAAGAATAAGATTTAATAAAATTATAAATATAACTCTTAAAAAGTAAATAAAAAATATAATACTCTCTCGGTTAAAAAATATAAAATATTTTTTGAGAAGTTGAATGTTAAAAAATGTAAAACATTTTTAATTTTTTGAGATGTAATTATTACATTTTTTTAAAGTACCTCTAATAATAATAACTTTATATTTATTATAAGATATTTAATAAGAATAAATATAAAAAATAAGTTAGTTTGAAAGTAAGTAATTATTTTATTGAAGTGAAATTTAATTAAAAATGCTCTATATTTTTAAATAGAAGAAGTCTTATTTTTTTTATTTCTCTCTCCTTACTTTTTAAAAATAATTTAAACATTTTATTTAAAATAAAATATAATATTATTATCAATTTAATGAATTATAAAGTTAATTTACTTCTTTAAAAGGTAATCAATAAAGTGGATGGAGCGAGTGGTTTGCATCTCTCTTTCTCCTTACATTTTCCCCTGTTGTCGTACGGTACATTAATGAACTTATTATAACATTAACTTGTGCGCGAGAATTTAAGGTAGAAGTTGGACTGGGAACACAAAGCTCGTGAAACTGACTCGGCCAAAGGCCATCGTCTTGGGGGGTGTTTTAAATTTAATGCCGCGTCGCATGGATCTCTTGGAAGTCCTCAAATGACTTTTGGAAAATCAAGGCATTCAAACGAAAAACACAGGCCAAAACTAAAAGAAAAAATGGGGTGGGGGTGTCGAGCAATCAAACAAATGGAAGTTTGAATGGTACAATTGTGCTGTACTAACTGGATACCTTGACTGTTAGGGCGGTTTGCGTTGGAAACCGAACCAGCCAGAACCATTTACTAACTTTAAGCAGCAAAAATATGTAAAATATTTGATTCTCAGAATCTCAGTACTCCTCCTCCTTGATTTGAGATTTGAATAAAGCAACCCCACATGGATTTAACCTTCAAAACAAGGATTGATGAGAGAGAGAAAGAGCTCAGTATTGCAGCGATCAGTCACATGTGAAGCCAGGGATAAACAAATTGAACTTGAACAATAGCCAAAAAAATTCTTGGGTAGGTTTTTTCATGTGGCAGAAAAAAACGCAAATGCATACAGTCTGCTTGTATTATAAAAATCAACACCTTATCATTCAGGATTCCCAAGGTCATACCCAGTCTTCTATAAATTAGCAGCATACACCAACCCCACATATGCAGGGTTAGGTTAAAAAGAGAACCAACTGGCAAACTACCAAAACCCCTGAAGGCTAGAACCATGTCTATGGATCCAAAGAAGTCTAACAAGATCACGGAAATTGTTAGGCTTCGACAGATCCTCAAGAAATGGAGAAGGGTAGCCAGCTCTTCAAAAACCGCCACCGCCGCGGCCGCCACCAGCAGCAGTAAAAGCATCAAGTTTCTGAAAAGGACACTTTCTCTATCCGAACGTGAAGGAGGGTCAAGCAATTTTGTTCCCAAGGGATATCTGGCTGTTTGTGTCGGGGAAGAGCTCAAGAGGTTCATCATACCCACTGATTATTTGGGTCATCAGGCCTTCCACATGTTACTGAGGGAAGCAGAAGAAGAATTTGGGTTTCAACAGACCGGTGTTCTGAGGATCCCTTGTGAAGTATCTGCCTTCGAGAGTATATTGAAGATGATTGAGGGAAAGAAGGACAAGGTTTTCACTCAAGTTTTCCACTCAACAGACAGGTGCTCTGAGGACAAGCTTTCTTGTTCCCACCATGCTCACAGTCCAATGTGCAGATAGTCAGGAGTTTTCAAGTTTCTGTCCTTCAACCTTTTTTTTTGGTCCTTTTGTTTTGCTCCTTATAAAGGCCAGTTAATGCATGAGAGTGTGAATGAGAATGAGGAAGAGTGACTTCAATGTAAGAATCACCTGGGAATTATATAAAGCAATGAATTGAGCTCTATTGCCGTGTATATTTTCCCAGAGCATAATTTTTTGTAAATATATCTAAGACTTATGAAGCATAATTAGAATTTCTAATGCCTCGTAGTCTTTATGCTAGAGCTAGATTTTTGGGCGATGCAGCTCAGATCACATCTCACTATCACGAACTCACATGACATTAGTACAACTCTCACCTTCCATCCATCAGAAAATGAGTGATTATGCGTGTGTTTGTGTGTATAAGCAACTTGTTGGATCTTGGCATCAACTAAAATCTATAGCTTGTGGTCAATCACCAAGAACGCGCACGTATCAAGATTCAAGACGGTAGGGAGTGCCTCCGTTTGCTTTTGCCGAGTTCATGAACATATCACATCCACTTTAATCTAGAAACTACTAGCGCCATATTTTAATATGTTTGTAATTGAAGATTATATAGCCTTGACAAGATGAATCAGAGGTGTAGTTGAGCCTAGCTGCCTGCATTGCCGGTACCCCCTGCCTCACCCAGGGGCTCGGGGGCACTGTAGGAGATGCTTACTTGATGTGCAAGTGGATCCTAATCAGTCTTAGGACGGTGCAAAATTGACAGCCTCTCAAAAGAACCTGGCTAACTTTCTTCATAGGTCAAGTTAATATGTATAAACTTTCAGAATGACATCATATATGATTTACAAGTGACAGCAAAATCGTACCATACGGACAAGCCACGGAATTGCCTATCTTAGAAGCCAGTCAATGTCCTCTGATCAAGAGGCATGCATTCTCTAGATAAATTGTTGAGATTCTGCAATTTAGATTGCCAGTATCCTCTACACCGGGCAAACACATGGTTTCAATAGTAACGCCAAGCCTAGCAATATTATACTGTAGACTGCATTCAATTCACGTCGATCCAAAATTTCTATTTAAACATCTATTACGCAGCTCACATGCAAGCATTCATTTCAAGAGCTAAACACACATGTCAATAGTGCAAGTTGGGTAATCAGCCCTCGTATCCATTATACATACGAACATACATGTGTGTGTATGTACAAGTGATAAAAACTCAGAACAAAATGCCGTTATAAAAATATGGAATCTCCCATAAAGTTTCAACAATAAACTGTCACGATCACAAGTCCTCTAGATAAAACTCACCATCAAAAGATGCCTTATAGAAGGAGAGTGTCCAACTAACTTATAAACCACACATCACTAATGTAGCCTCCCGATGTGAAACTCATGACATAGCCCATCTCTCAAGGGCTGACGTTCACGATAACTCACACTCCATGATGCTTTACTCGACCTTCGGCCGGTCAGTCCTTTGGTGAGTAGCCCTTTCACGCGAATGGTGACTCTTAATGAAAGTACCAATGTCACAACTACAAGTCTTTTGGTAGAACTCACCTCCAAAAAATGCCTCACAGGAAGAGGATGTCCAATTGACTTAAAAATCACACACCACTAATGTGGCCTCCCGCTGTAGAACTCATGACATAGCCCATCTTTCAAGAGCCGATGTCTGTAATGGCTCACACTTCACGATGCTTCACTTGACCTTTGGCTGGTCAGCCTCTCCGTAGATAGGCCTTTTCGCAAACGACGACTCTCAATGAAAGCACCAATATCACGACTATAAGTTTTTTAAATAAAACTCACCCCTAAAAGATGCCTCATAAGAAGAGGGTGTCCAACTGACTTATAAACCACACACCATCAATGTGGCTTTTTAATATAAGACTCATGACATAAACATTGTTAACTAATGGAACACGAGCCCAGACACCTAATAGCGCTTCGTTAATGTGCATACCGTATTTTTATCAATTTAGCAGCAAAATGATATCCTAATATGATATTGAAATGGTTAAGATATTAAAACACCTGTAGATTTCAGTGAAATTAAGGTTAAAATATAGAGGTCATATGGCGTACCATTCAGATCCAATCAGACGCCCACATGACATCTATTCCGTTCCTCTTGGAAGCAGCAATCAGCCAATCAGGTTTTCAAGGAAGCCACGTGCTGCGCTGTTTCTAAGGCTCTGAATCATTAGAATATGCGTTGCTTATTGCAACTTGGACTGTGAAATCACAGGGATGAGATGTGAAACCAAAGGACAAAAATAAAAATCGAGGTAAATATGCATGAGATGTAAATATTTATTATATTGATCTGACCATTTGTTTCTTTAGAAACAACTTGAAAATAAATAAGTTGTTTAACCCTTCGGCAATCAACATCTAGATAATTATGTCTGTTCTTTTTTCTTTTTTTAAAAAATTACGTCGTTACATTAACTGGCTTACTTTTTAATGATTTAATTTGGATAAAAAATTTCAATGAGATGCTCATATAAAGCCTTGTGCTTAGGACGGAACCCTTATGTTACTTAAAAAATAAACTATTCCCGCTCATATGTTTAGAAAAATACTAAAAAAAATTTACCCTGAAAAAGTATATCCAGTGAACTCCATCACATTTCTTCCTGCGAAGTTAAAGTAGGGAAAACATTTTAGCCAAAAAAAAAATATTGGGGAAAAAATCAATGCGATTAGCTGTGAATATTATTTAGAGCTAATGGTGAAGGTAAATCCGTGTTGCTTACAAATTTATATTTATAGTTTTAAATATATTACATATGTAACTATTCGGACGATTCACCTCATGCAACTTTCACTATTCAAAATATTAAAACTTGCATAGGGGGGAAATTTGGTTGGATTTCCCCCTATCACAGTCAAAGCCCAAAACAACATTAATTTTATTAATCAGAAGCATTGGATACCCAATTTTTTTTTTTTTTTGGCAAAGCATATTCTTGTGATGTTATGACTAATGAAAGATACCGGGTTGACCTGTACACTAACTAGGCAGACTCTTTCGAAATTTGGCTGGATTTCATCCAGGTAATTGACAGTCAAAGCAAACTAATTTATTAATATAGAAATGCTTTACCTTAATATTTAAGTTTGAGCAGCGCATCATCATCATCATCATTGCTACTACTAACAACAACTACTACTACTAACTATTATTTTTAGAAAATAATGTAATATTTATATGTGGTCCCTGGGTTTATTAACGCTTTTAGCTGCCCGACTTGTTATAATGATGTGATGCAATCCCTTTGGCATTTGGATGTGTCAAACTGTCACTTGTATTTTAATAATTATGATCAGTCATAAGTCATAATCATTGGAAACCCAACCTCACGAAAAGTGGAGGGTCTCCTGGAAACCCGAAACTTTGGAGAGTGAAAATTGGGCTTTACTTTTAAATATCAACACCTTCAACGTATTAGTAAATACTTTGTGGGTAGGCCGATGATGACAAAGCAGAGACTAATCATATTCATGAAGACTGACTCATTATTAGGGAAGGAGTCTGGGATGAGTTTATGGAAGGAGTAGGCTGGAAGGTTGGCAATGGAGAAAAAGCTTCTTAGCTCCTTTTTGGATGCACAGATGGTCACCCATGCCTAGGCCTTTGATCTTTTATAATCTGGTTTTTAACTATTCTTACCATGAAAGAGTCGAAGATTTTGTCACGACTCATGGGAATAGGAATATTAGCAAGTTGAATAAGGTCCTCTCGCATAAGATTGTTAAACGCATATTGCTTGTAAAACCATCAAGTAAAGAGGATCGAGAGGATGTTCTTTGTTGGAGGCCCTCTACTGATGATGGTTTTAACATCAAAGCTGCTTACAATTGGCTCAATAAGAATAAGGGTAGTGCAGATAATCTTATTTGGAAGATTAAAGGATTTATGTGGAAAATAGCCCGGGATAGATTGATTTGGGTTCAATAATATTGTTACCGACTTGGTGGCTGCCAGAACCTTTGCTTGTTCAATTGTGGGCAACAAGAATCTAAGCTCCATATCATTAGAGATTGCCCGCAAGCAAAAAAGGCATGGTTTAAACTAATTAGAACATCGATGGTCCCTAATTTTTCTCTCCCTTTCTCCAGGATTGGATATTATGGAACGAGAAAACAAAAGCGAGCAGTAGAGCAAAAAGAAGGCTTCCTTGATAGAGAATTTATGCACAAACTTGCTAGATGTTGTAGAAGAATAGATGCGGCAAAGCTTTTGACACGGAGCACAACATAAAGAAAGAGATATAACTTTTTTGGTAACACAGGTTGAAAGCGAAGATGTTAGAGTTGAGAGTTTTAAAGATACACTGCCGCTAGATAGAGCTATGAACAAAACGAAATGGAGATTGCCTAATCTAGGTTGGGTTAGATTTGATGTTGATAGGACAGTCAATCACGAAGGGGAAGTTGTGTGCAGCAGTCTTGTTGGATATGAAGATGGTAATTGGAAAAGCTGGTTCATGTCGAAGATGGGTTACTTTCATTGCACTACTACATAAATGATGAGCACAAGGGAAGGCTTAAATCCTTGTTGGACCCTTGACTTTGAAAAAGTTAATTTGTTTTCCAATTCTCAGGAAGTTTTAGAGAACATTCAAAAAATTTACAAAAGGTTTCACCTAACCTTTAGAGTTGCAGACAATATTAGAAAAATAATTATGCATGATTTGGAGGTTTCCTATGAGCACATGTTTAGGGAAATAAATACCTGTCCGGATTGGTTAGCATGGATTGCTTTACCCCTAGATCACCAACAATGCATTATTATCCACCCCCTAAATGTTTAACTATCATGGGCTATGACCTTAGATGCGTTCCTAGAGATGTAGGTTAGTTCCTTCTTCCTTTTTTCTACCGGTAGGCTTTTGCCTCCTTTGCAATTCACAAAAAGACAAACTCATTCAAGCCGTGGCAATTTGCAGGGTTGAAGGTAAAATAATCGCTTGTTGAATCCAAAACCACAATTTGGGCCATATCAGGATCCAGATCAGAGCAAAGTCAAGGGACATCTCGGGCTCACAAGTAGAGATTTTAGAGAACATACATGTACATATTGAAGATTTATGGCAGTCTTTTCTAACATGTTGCAATCCCATAACTGGATTAGATAATTGCCATTGAAAAATTAGGTTAGTCAACAACTGCTTGTAGCTATCATCACACAACAACATGATGTCGACGGATCTGTCAATCCCAGTTGTAAACTTTGAAGAATACAAGGATCTAATTTATAAACTTTGGAAGCATAGGCGCTGAAGTTCTCTACTTAGGAGTATACATTGGAAACCGTGTCAGGAATGCATAACCAGCTTTCAACTCCATATTGACAGAATCATATCATTTACATCCGACAAAAATAATGAAGGGTGAGGATAAAATCAAACAGCAAACCATCGCTTCCACTTTTTAGCATACAAAACGCAATTGTAAAGAAAAGTCTATGAATCTTGCTGATTTGTGGGGTTGTTCTGACATTGTAGGACTCGGGTTCAAAAAGCTAGTTCTCCACCATCATTGTAATTTGGAAAAGTGACACATTTGAAGACCTTACACTTTGAACATAATATATATCCAATCTGCAGCAGAATGCCAACACAGAAAGAGGTCCCAAAATCATCAAAAAAGAAAAGAAAAGAAATTCATAGGATCGCCCCTCTTAATACACACACCTAGGTATACTGTTGACCAAGTGCATTATCAATTTCGTTCGAGTCAAGTAATCATTGTACTTACAGCTTTGCAGGATGGGCATCTACGGTAGATCCTCTTGTTTTCAGCTTTAACATTTGTTTTCTGTCCTTTACAAAAGTCACATATTAACCATCCTTTTCCATTGCAAGGTTCACACATAATTCCTGGTGCATCAACCTATATACAACTGAAACGGAGTAAACTCGGGAACAAAATATAATAGTTATGATGGAAGAAAGAGAGACTTCAGTTTGACATTGTTTCATCTCAACGATCAAATTTGTGCCCTTAATTTACAAGCATTATTTAGAACTGGCTGCTATATGTAATTGTGAAGGCACATCACATTGTTTATAGCTCATATCTACAAATTCACGTATTCATAACATTGACATTATTACAAAAAGAAAATTTAGGCGCAACATCAAGTGTTGTCACCAAGTTTTCCATCCAAAACATGATTATATGCATCTTGGCACCACATGAATTGAGTTTTAAAAAATGTTCTCCTTACATTAAGATTTTATCAGAACTTATTAGCAAACAACCGTGAATAGCACACTTTAACCAAGAAGTTTCATGCTATCCTCGTCCTAATTTATGCTACAAGCCTAATGGCTCATTCTTTCTAATTTTACAATGAAATGAACAAATAGACGAATTGCATTAGTCTATATGTACAGTGAGGAAACAAGAAAAAATGAATAATCTAGTATACTCCATATGAAGTACTGGAACATGCAGGAAAATTCGGAAGGATGCTCGATGATCATGTTATGATGTAATGAGATCGTCAATTCCAACGAACGAAGAAGATTTACCTGTTGTTGGACTTGCTGAACGGACGCGCAATGCATAGGCTTCAAGTAAACACGTCTTTTACTTGAGAGGAGGGAACCCCAATTTCTCAGCGAATGAAACTTCGCAGGAACTGGAATGGAAATCGCCGTCATCATAGCCCCTCTCCTCCAACAACACACAGGAATTACCAATATATGCCTCTTGTTTCTCATCTCATTATCCTGCAACGAAAACTCTAGCCCTCGGTTTTCCACGAAATAACATGATTGCCACTACTGTTGGCGATTGCACTTCAATAACTGCCGAGCTCATCATTCCATTAGAAGCAAGCGTCCTTTTTCTACGTTAATCCTTCTCTTCCGCGCGGCAAAACTCCGACGAAGGCACCCGGTGGAAGCGCTGTCAGAAGCCGAAGGACTTCGTTTAATAGTCTTGCGGCATGAAAATTTGGGAAATCGTGACTAACCTCAAGCTATTGTGTTTCTCCAAATAAATAACGTTTTTGGTATGGGTTGCTGTGATTTTTTCGTTCTTTCATCTTCCTCTAGTTTATCTGTGCCTCTTTTTCAATGTATTTAAAAGAATGATGAGGTGAAATATGCTGATATGTAATTACCATTTTTGTAGTAAGATGGAATTACGCTTCAACAAATTGAAGCCTAAAATATGCAACATAATAAATTGGACAATGCTGTTAATCATAATTCCACTCAACACAAATTAATAGTATTATCAAAGATCAACATATTTAACATATTTAACATTGTTAGTACCATCCATTATCCTTTTGGATATAGGGTAAATGTGCAAATTTATTATGGAACTTTTTATCCAGGGGCATTTAGTATCTTGAAATTTTCTTGAGAGCAATATTATCCTAAAACTTTTCAAAACAGTGCAATATTGCCTTGTCATTAGAATTGACCATCTTATCTGACCAAACTTGCCACATGGCATTTTTCAAAAATTAGAAAAATAGTGAAAGTGCAAATTTATCCCAAAACTTTTCGTTCAGGGACGCTTGGTATTCTCAACTTTTTTGGGAGCAATGTTGCTTCGAAACTCTCCAAAATGATGTAATGTTGCCCTGCTGTCGAAGTTGATTGTTTTATTTGACTTCACTTGCCACGTAGTAGCCACGTGGCATTTTTAAAAAAATTTAAAAAATGCAGATATAGGTGGCCTCTATCAAAGCATCGCTAGCTCTTTGACTTCTTCAATCGTCCACATCGCTCATTGGTTCATGGTAACTGGTTTGTCGTCCCCTCCCTCTTATGTATCAGTTGCACATTGCTTTTCCTCCTTCACAGTCGGCCATTCTTCTTGTCTTCATTCCTCCCCCTTCATCGTCGGCATTTGTTACATCATAGAAATACAAACTTGGTTAATTAAGCTTAATGGGTAATTAGTAAGTTAAGGTGATGCGTGGTCAAAGAGGTTTAGTAAGTGTATTTGATTGTGATTTCAGCCCTAAACGAGGGTTCGAAGTGAAATCAAGTCATTTGTGCATCAAAAGTGAAGAAAGGCTCTTTGTGTCATATGCCGTGTCATAAGGAACGTCCATTGCAGCGCATAGAAGCAATTGACTTGAACTGAGCCTCTCTGTGCCATACACTGCAACGCACGGTCAAAATTCCTGATGTAATGCTCATGCATCAGATAGAAAATCAAAAGAAGAGAATAGAGAAAACGAAGAGCAAATGTGATTTCTTTACTAGGGCTTATGGTATTAGAGGTTCATGAGTATTTTGGAGTTACATAACATTTAAGGTAAGGTTATTAAACTCATTTCTTCCCTTTCTCTTCCATTTTCTCTAGTGGAGAAGTTAGGATTTGAGTTGAGAGATTGATTTTCGATTCATATGAGCTATGGGTTCGAATCCATTAACTAAAATAGATATAACAGGAGTTGCTTATAATATTTAAACCCTACATTTATGGTTTTGTAAGTTGTTAGTGGTTGGAGAGTATTGATATTCAAAATTAGCAATAAATGAGGTTGTTGAGAGTTTTAATGATCATTGATGATGGTTTAATAACTCATTAATGATATTATGGGTCAATAGAACCTAGTAAACCTATTAGGTATGATGGGTAGTGAAATTATGATGTTGATAGAGTGAGAATGTAGAGTTAAATGTTGAGAAATTTACCCAAAGAGAGATATTGATGAATGTCCTTATGATTTCATTGTAAACTATCAATATTGGCACCATTTGAGCCTGAAAAAAAGCTTTGAAAGTGGTTATATTAAGGGGTAAGCCTTTGACTTCTCATAGATTTGAGGTAATCAGGAAAAATCTAGTTTATATAGTTGTATGTTAATTAGTTATTGGTTGAAATTAATGATTTGAAACTTATTTGATGTGTGAAAACTATTAATGCAATATTGGCAATGTGATAAATTTATGTGAAATTGTTTTTAAAAAATGGAGAACCTTATGCATGTTGCCTACATGTGATTAGTGATTTTAATTGATAGCATGTCATTGTGAAAATGAGAAAAATGTGATATTTGACATATAGAGTGTGATGCATATGTGAGTAAGGATATGTGATGAATTATGTCAAAATGATGTGTTAAGTATCAAGATATGCATAGCAGATTATTGGTGAGAGTTTTCATAAGGAGATGAGTATATTAGTAAATTTATGTGGTACTAGCAGCTTATTATTGGAATCGAAAGCTTGCCTAGGCACTGATCATTGAAATCGGGAGGTAGCCATTATCCCATGGTTAATTTAGGACTATCTCACTTATTCTTTGAGGGACTCGAATTTAACTAGTCTCTACCAATTTATGAGAATACTAGATTAGAGGTATGATACCCTATGATTGTTAGTTTTAGGGGAAAACCGTGATATATAAATGAGTGAGTTAACCCTGACTTATTAGTTCCTTACAAATAGAAAGTTGGGTTAGTTTAAGTTATAGATGTAGTTACTTGATAGCTACTGGTTTCATATCAGAGTTAACGGGAGGGTATAAGGCTGGCATTGATCATGCATTTAGTATTGATCACATAGTTGTTATTATTGTGGTCTGGTGTGTAGTGGGGGCGTATGATTGTTAGTTTTGCAACCTAAGGTTTTGCTAACTAATATGCACGATGATATGTGTTTTATGCCCAATCACATAGCTATCATTATTGTAGTCAAGGCTATATTTGTCATATGTGTGATATATGTGAGTTTATTGCTATTTGCATCCATTTTAATTGATATGCAACTATATACACTAAGTGAACCTTGATTACTGAGTGGTTGTGTCCACCATTCATTTTTTAATATTTTTAAGACCTAGCTCATTGGATCTAAATTGAGAAAGATACTCTAAAACTTAGGATTTTGGGTGTAAATCCTACTTGTAAGCCTCCTTATTTTTTGTTATATGTGTATTAAATGTTGTTAATTTGTTAACTAGGATTCATTCTATTATTTTTGATTACTTGCATTATCATTGTAAAAAACCATGTGTATTTTGTGCCTTGAGTGAGTGTGCTGTAGTTGTAAAGTTTGTCTATGATCAAAATACTAGTGCGAGTAAGATAAAGTGTATTATGGTTTTTTGGATGAATATAGATGATTTACGCAAAGTTCTCCTCCCTTTTGTATTTTTGAATTGAGGGGTTAATGGTTGAAATTATAATATGTGTGTATTTGAATGGGTGTGAGTCCAAAATGATCCATTGAGCGTGGTCTAAAGGTTAGTGTAGGCTTTTGGCACATTGGTTAGAGATTGGACACCCTAGTTGTAAGTTTTTGTGAAAAAGGAGTGAAATCGATATTGGATGTCCAACTTTTGATAGAAAATGAGTTTGGTTATGAAACTTATGTTATTGGCTAGAGTTTGAAGAAAGCTCTTTATAAATACTAAAATCGTCTCAATTGGATGTTGGACGAAAATTTAGGATGTATCGAAAGTGTAACACCAATTTTTTTTTAAAATAATTTAACTCAACCATAGTTGGGTTACAGCCACCCAACACATTTTTATATCAATAATTTCAATATAAAATATTTTATAATTAGCTTCAACTCACACAATATAACATTTCAGATAAATTTTTACCTCTCACATGCCACTAGGCTAAATTACATTTGTCCATCCTTATACTCCCATCAAGTAAATTAAATCACATTTATCCATTCTTATACTCCCAACAAGTAAAATAAGCAATTTAGTCAATTTTCAACACAAGCCAGTTATTTGGCCTTATAATCATGCCATTTTAACCAATCCAAAGTGAACCAAATATTAAAATTACAGTCATCCAAATTGTACCAAAAATAGAAATAGTTTGAAAGGCATGATTACATTTATATATTCATATAATTGACAATAAACAAAAAGCCCTAATATTGGCAATATAACACATTATAAATAATAAATCAAATACTCAAAAGAGACAGTGAATCTATGCCACTAAGCCTCTGGGACTCCTCCACGTGTCACTCGTGGCTCTTCTCCGAAAAATTGTTAACCACATAATGAGACTCAAAAGTCCTAGTAACCAATACCAATTTATGATAGTGTGTACAAACAGTTAAATGTGTGCTTATTACGTGAGAATTAAAAATAATATAATTCCAACGAATATAAGAAATATTACGATACACACAAACAATCATCCTTATATCCCTCCATTAACCTCGAGCCGCAGCCCTAACTCGGTGCTAAATTACCTGGCCGAAGGTAGATTAGCCCGAGCCTTTACAAGCCACCTATTGAGCTCTAATAGGGGCGTACCACGTGGCACATAAATATAACAATAGCAAATCTCCCAACACCTCCCACAATAATCAAACAAAATTCATAACAATATTGCACAATTATATAATATTACAAAATTTATAATTTTCTCAATAATCACCTAATTAATATAAAGTAACACTAATCACAAATTAAAAGCATGGTTACCTTGTGGCTTTTTCAATAAATTATTCCTTACAATTTCTCTCCCACCACAATTTTCACCAATAACACAATCTACAAATAAGATATTATCTATAAATATTAGTTTCAATTATTGAAACTAATAAAATAATTCTAATAATAGAATTAAAAATGTAACATAATTCCTATTCTCAATCTTAATACAAATTTAGAGTTAATACTATTAAGTAAAATTTTTAACTCCTCTTTTAATTATCAATAAACATTAATAATCTAAAAATCAACTTCTAAACTAATTTCTATTATCAAAATTTTCTTTTTATTTTATAAATTCGCACCTAAAATATTTAAAAATTAAAAATTGAGTCTCTAGCTTAGAATCATAATCCTATAGCCATAATAATTCATTTATCATCCCAAATAATCATCTAAACCTCAATAAATCAACATATATTTTCAGATTTAGTTTGGAATTTGATCCATAAGCCACAAATTCAAAGATCATCAATAAATTTATACTCTAGAACATTTATTA